GCCCGCGAAACTTGCAGGAACCGAGTAGAATGTAGAACCAAGGAGGTAGCGGGAATAGCAGAAAGGGACTTCAGTAGGTATGGGGGGGGGGCGATAGGAATGCCAGGTTTGTTCTAGAGGAACTAAATCAAGGGGGGGAAGCTTCTGGGAGAGTTTAATTTGGAGGGTGATAAGGGAGTGATTAAAGATTCTTTTGTGGGTACAGTAATGCTGAGAGTGAGTAGGGTGGGGTCCTGGAGGAGCTAAATACTTCTTCTGGGAACAATTTGGAGAATGAGGGTGGTAAAAGAAAGGTTTAAAGAGTAATCTTTGGGAGGCGGGTGAATGGTTTACAAGCTCGGTAGGGGGTGTGGAGGAAGGCAGTTTAAAGAATAGTTTCCTTGGGAGGTAGAGAAGGGGTTAAACAGTTTGTAATCCGGAGGGGGGCTGGAGAAAAGCGGGGCCAGAGGATCGTGTAGTCCCAGAAAGTGGGCGGAACTAGAAATAGGAAGTGTTTGTAGCGGTAGCTGAACGGGTGGGAGGGAGCTAAGGGAGAGGGTGGAGAAGACGGGGGACAAGTGGGAGGGAGAATTCCTTGTCGAGGGAGCCCCCCAGGCTGGGCTAGAAAGGAAAGGGTGTTGGGGAAGAGCGATGGCGATAGCATCAAGAGGAGGAAAGGTTTAGATGGTACTGCAGAGTAGCGGAAGATGGAGAAAACTGCAGTAACTCAGATCGACTGAAGCCATCTTTTCCACCCATTGTCTACAAATAACCAGTAATTGATTCCCTGGACGTGGGAATCCTAAAATGTGATTCGAAGTATCACGTGTATGCATAGCATCCACATACGTTTTTGAACACACTTCACTAATGAAAAGTTGGAAGCATTCAGTTCCACTTACTCCCCATAAGCCCCTTTTTGGAGGGGAGCAAGCTTCTCATTTAGAACAGGATTTTAGATTTGGTGACCTAAGCCTGTGAAGAGACAAGAACCCGTTTGAAATTAAGACCATCCCCTTAAGTCACAAAACCACAATAACACTGCAAATAAAAATACAATCTGTATTCAGTTGCATATAAGATGCTCTGAGTTGTTTATTTGGCGGAAAGGCACATGGAGAAATAGTCATCATACTTAGAGAAATGACCCTCCAGAATTTAATCCCTGAAGCAGTTTGGTGGACTCTAACTGCCATGTTTGAATTCTCCCATTACGTAAACGACTTCTGTTGGAAGTATATAAGACAATGCCATATTTCTCTGGGAAATCAGCTTGACCCTGAAGGCTTAGTATGTGTTAGATAAGTTTTACATTCATTACCTCATTCTTAGAACCTTTTGAGATCTTTTTATGCCTAACTTATTGGTAGGAAAACAAGAGGTCACACATAGGATAAATGGCAGAATCACAATCCAGGTCTGACCTGTGAGTTCTTCACTGTATTCCTAAACAAGATACAGACCCTGGGACCAAATGAAAGCTCAATAAATGCCAACTCTTGGCCTAGAAATTCGCAGATGTATTTTGTGTCATGTGTTTAATTTTTAAAAATAAAAAATAATTTTATGCTTTAACGTGGTGTTTATGTAATAATTACCCCAATATAAGAATAATGAACTTTAAAAGTCAGCTATTGGGGAATTACAGTCTTGATTTCTTTTAAAAAAGAAAAATACAAAGTGAATGGAAATGCTTTAATGAAAACAATTTATAAAACATTGTTTAGCTTTATTAAAATTTAGTTATTTGTAATGAGGTCAAACCATTAACAAAGCTCTTTGTATTGTTACAAGCTACATATTCTGTTCAGTTGGATACATACATTTTTGCCACTTTGTTTTTTGAGGGCAGTTACTGTGAGGATCATTGCTCACTCTTCTCTGTAGGAGATTAGTAATCTTTTAGCAACTTAATATTTAACAATTCAGAGACCTTTGGTTAAGAGAATTAAATTTTGTCAAAGATTAAAATGAACCTATGATAAAGAACATGTGTTCCCGGCTTATTTTTGCACCTACAGAGCAAAGTTTTAGGGTAAATTTGTGAGTTCTGGTGGTGCCATTGAGACTTCTCAAAGTTTTTAAAACCTCAGTATCATCAATTGGATGTGATAAAAAGCAAGCTTTTTGTTTGTTTTTAACTGCCGACCACACATCTAATAGTTACTTTGGTGGCAAGTTATAAGATCCCAATAGATTAGATTACTTGTGTGTTATTTTGTGAGAGAGAACGTAAGAATGAGGCTAATACTTGTAAAGCACAGGGAAGTTCTTACACAGAAATGCTCTGCGTGAGAGGGGGCTGTGTAAGAGAACTACAAGGTGGGCCACGTTGTGGATGGATTAGGGTTCATAGCTGTACACTTACTAGTGTGACCAGTTAACTTTTAACCTGTATGCCTGTTTCTCATCTATAAAATGAAAATGAGAAGATCATGCCTACATCATAGTGTGGTTTTCAAGTGAGAGAATCCAGATAAATGTTCAAATAACGTTAGCTGTGTGAGAAATGAAGCTTTTTATATTACAAAGATAAGGCTCTGCCTGCACTTAAGAAATCAGATGGTACTTTGATTTGTCACGCCTTATATAATAATTTTAATAGTTATTAACTTGAAAGTAAAAGCCAAGTGACAGTTAAATAAGTTGTATCCCAGACCGGTCTGATTCCAGCCAATGTTTTCTGGGTTTTGTTAGGGTTTCCATTGTAGGTCTGGATTGGTTCTTTGAACACTCTGCTTTTTACTACTCTGTGGTTTATTCGGGGGCATTTAAATTATTTGTACCACTGCCTTGAGAAGCAACAGTTTTTGTTTATTTTAATTTGTTTTTTTTTTAGAGATAAGAGTTTTAGTTTGTCACCCTCGGTAGAGTGCTGTGGTGTCACAGCTCACAGCAACCTCCAGCTCTTGGGCTTAGGCTGTTCTGCCTCAGCCTCCTGAGTAGCTGGGACCACAGGTGCCCACCATAACGCCTGGCTATTCCTTTGCTGTAGTTGGCGGGTGCTAGGCTCGAACCCACCACCCTTGGTATATGGGGCTGGTGCCCAGCAAGTGTTTTGACTTTACCTGGGTCTTCCAAATCAATTCCAGGTGTTGTTGTTGTTGTTGTTGTTGTTGTTGACAGAACCTCAAGCTGTCACCCTGGGTAGAGTGCTGTGGCATCACAGCTCACAGCAACCTCCAACTCCAGGGCTCAAGCCAGTCTCCTGCCTCCACCTCCCAAGCAGCTGGGATTACAGGCGTGCGTCACAATGCCTGCCTATTTTTTGGTTGCAGCTGTTGTTGTTTGGTGGCCGGGCTGGATTTGAACCCGGCAGCTCATGTCTTTGTGGCTGGCACCTTAGCAGTTTGAGCCACAGGCGCCAAGCCTCAATCCCAGGTGTTACCACTGGGAATGATTTGAGGCAAGCCTAGATAAATATTTCTAGAAAATTAGAAGCCCCCCAAAAGGCATTTTTTTTCCTTTTAGGGGAAAAAAGGGCGGTAGAATATATGAAGTTCCTTGAAGTTTATAGAGTTCAAGTTATTTGACTAATTGCAGAATAGATGTATTGTTTAGTTGATTTAACTGTGTGAAGGCCCAGAAGGGTGGAATAGAAAACTTACTCCCCCTCTCTTAGAAGATTGGAGGTAGGGGACATACTTTATTGAAGGAGAAACAGTTTTGGTTTTCTTACACCTTCCCATGTCTCCAAGGCTGCACAAGGTTATGACCTGTGAAACTGGTACCAGTCTGAAATAATGAATTTAACTCTTGAAAAGCTACATCACAGAAGTTTCTTCCTAGCTTTACAGTTAATATTGTCAACCTGGAATTACTGTTCCTAAAGACATGATAGCTTAGTTAGTTCCTAGCCATATTTGGATTGTA